ATACATTCTCTTACAATATTTAAGGAAATTTAGTTCCATCTTCGTGGTGGGCAATAATTATATATAATGATAATGTAATTTTTTTACGTTATTTAAATAAAAAAAAAGAACGTATAGTAGTTGTGACCCTAGTACTCAATAATATACTAACCGGGCAACTTAGTTAAACTGATTTTCTTTTTGGTATTGATATGTAAAATGAATTGTCGAAAAAAAAAAAAAAAAAAAAAAAATGAATTGTCGACCAAGTATTTAAACCCGGGAAAACAATATCCGAAGTCACATGAAGGCCAGCAAAAAATCCGGCTACAATTTATTCCGGGCGACGCTAGGGTTGTTATAACGATACCACTTGTATATGGATTTATTAAAATTTTATACAGTAGATTACTTATAATTGGTGGTAATCGGTCAGTATATTTGGCTGTTCATTTGAATAATTAATCGAATCAATCTTAAACATACAAAGTTGATCTAAGCCTGTTGATTTAATTGCTTTTTAGGCCGTTTGGAATTAAAATTTCGTTTAACGTTCTCCCCCCTCCACCCCCCTAAAATTAAACAAGCCAATCAGAACGTTCATTACGCCTTGAAATTCCAATAAGTCACGTGCTTATAAGCCAACCAATGATAATGTGATTATTTTTGCGATATAGCATAATGTTTGTTTAAGTTGATACCCCTCCCCCACTGCGCTTAAGCTTCAAAAGGAACGTTAAACGAAATTTCAATTTCAAACAGCCTTAATATAAATTGTTTGAGCGTTTATAGCATTACTGATGTTTTGTAAATCTTGAAATAGTGTGCATGGATGTTACCGTACTATTCCGAAATTAAGCACCCACCGAAATTAAAACCACCAAATTTTGTATAATTTCCGAAAATGAGCACCCCCAAGTATAATCGTATCGGTTTTTTTTGCCAAACAAGTCTACTATCTATTTCTAAGTAAAGATATTCTCAGGTCAAGACAATTCTAAAGGTGGTAAAATTATCAAAATTGATTCAGTAGAACTTTTACAATTACTCTTAAATTTATGCAACATTTACTTACATGACTACAGATCATGTAAGCAAATGTAAACAAACGTCGACTGAATTTTGAAGAGCAATTACTAAAGTTCTATTGGATCAATGTTGGCGAGTTCACCATCTCTAAAATCGTCTTGACCTGTAGAATACCTTAGAAATAGGAGGAAGGTTTACTTATCACAAAACCCCGTATTATTAATTTCTAAAATTATATCCGAAAATAAGCATCCCTTATAACAAAAAAAGGGTGCTTAATTTCGGAATGGTACGGTATTTTAAGATTCAAATTAAATTTAATTCAGGACGTAACTCAAAATAATGCTCAAGCGCCGCAGTTTCAAGATTTTATATTCTATAACAATTTGTTGCGTTGCATTGGTTTATTTAGTTACTATTACATTACAAGATTCATCATAAACTACACTATACAGGTAATTGCTGCCAACAAGCATAATGAGCTTAACTACGCAGTGAACACGAGAGTGGTAGATAAATGCTAAGGCATATATATCGATAATTAATAATAAATAATAGTAGAATTAATGAAAGTGGATAACATCTATTAGTATCAAAACCAATAAAGTATCAAAACCTCGATTTCTCATTTTATAAGACCGAATTAGGTGGTTATTATACACTATACGCTTCATCCAGATTGGTTTGTCTCAGCGTGATTCGCGGGAAAGATTATCAATCTATCAATCTTCTGGTTTCTCTTTTACAGTGCAGTAATAAAAAGTTTCCCTCGACCTTAATCGTCTTTTTATGTCTTCTCGTTTTTTCTCGAAATACTTTGGAATGTCTGACATCATTGTGTAAATCCCTGCCGCGCATCACGCGCGTTGCCCATCGTTAATGTGGACTATCTGGTATGTATAAGTCAATATTGGTTTGGCTAATATCCAATAATATAATTTGATTAGATATTATTAGGAGACATTGTGTTGTTTGGAGAAGTAAAAGTACCTCTTTACAAAGCACCTAAGAAATAATATTATAACATATGAATAATCTTACACTCAATTTATGGCATTATTAAATTAGACTTAACATTACTTTGGGAAAATATAGTGACTTAGGGCGTTCCCAAGCACCTACCTCAATGAACTCAATAAAAAATCTGATTGGCTAGTTTGATCAATCAGATTCGTTATTAAGTAAATTGAGGTAGATGCTTGAGAACGCCCTTAGTCATGCGATTCATGATTTTTTGGACAAATTGAATAATAAAAACAAGTGTATATAAGACTAAACCGTTTCACTCGTTTCACTGACAATTAATTCGTCGATACTTCGTTTCACCGACAATCTATTTTACCAAAAGAAAGTTTATTTCATTTCACCGACATTCATTTCGTAGACAAAGTAATTCTGGTCATTTGTCGTCAGTGTCAGGTTTAGATTAGAGCTAAGGCTAATGTAATTTATAAAAAAAAACTCGGTGGAGATGAGTTGTTGGTGGACTAAATATGTCGGTTAACTAAACGATGGTAAAATAATTATCGGTGAACTAAGCATGTTGGTGAAATAAATTTGTCTGTGAATTGAAGCGCCAACGAAATGATTTCGATGAAATGATACATATCCTATAAGATATTGTTCGAGAATTTATTATTTCGATAATTCTTTCGAATATTTATTTACTAGCAATAATCTTAAAGCCTGTAAATTTATATTTGGATAATAAATTGTCAGGACAGTGAATTACTAGATTAAATTATTAAATTGTTGAGATTATAATCCTCTGGATTTTTAATTAGGTCAAGGTTTTTGATTGCGTCCATCATCTTTTGTTCTAATCAAAGGTAATGAAATTAATTTTCAAGACCTATTTCAACACATGATTAATCTTACCTCTCTTTAAATACATCTCGTTCGTATGAATAAAAACTTGCATTTATCAGTAATTATTAGTATTAATCACATAGAGACGCCAGGCTCGTGTTCTGTAAACAAAGATAGATCATTCAAACAGATTCAAATTGTATACGTACAGTATATGGGCAAATAGATTCTATTAAATAAAAATAGAATAATTAACAATTTTACTGAGCGAGCTCAAATAAGAAGGCTTCATTCAGATTGAAGATTAATTGAAGACAAATGAAAACTACACATGTCAATGCGGTAAGTTTACTATTAAAAACAAAAAATATCTAAGGATATTTCGGGTCATACTGTATTTACATTTATCCTTATGTATTTAAGTATACAAAATATATTTATAACTAGTTGTAGCGACCTCCGACCTAATCACAGGAATTTTCATTGTTTGTGAAAATGGATAATTACTACATAAGAAAGAATTAGTTTTCAGTTCCCACAATTTGAGTACGCATGGTGATTGAAATGAGTAAATACAATATTATTAAAAATAAATAGAATTATTAATCAAAATTTTCTATGGAAAATGAAGTTTTAATTTGCGTTGATAGGTAATATATTTGTCTACTTTCTTATTTTTGATGAAATGAACAGATAAAAACTAGCTATTCACCTATTTACTCAATTATTCATTTTGCTTTTTAAGATGCATTAAATGAAGCACAAAAATTTTTTTAAGTGAATTATGAAAATCAAAAAAACAAAAGCATTTACGAATTTATACGTTCAGTGAGCTCACAAATTTTATGTAAACTAATCTTCATGAGGCAATAGTCTGGAAGTAAAAGAATTTTTTTGTTTCTTTTTTTGATAACGCAAAATTTAAAATATATTTACTGGGTAATATGATACAAGTCATGTGAATATGATATTAAAATAAGACGATTTTTACTTGTACTCTAGTGTATGAAACACGGGTATAGTCATAACTCAAAATTTTGCTTATAAAACCACTTTGGGGGTTCTCACAAAAAAATAATTTACGCAGAATTTTAGTATAAAATTTTCTCTAACCCTAACCTCTAACCTAATCCTAACCAAAATATTAAGTAGGTTTTGTTTTTATGAATTTTATATTTTACACAGATTTGCAAATTAATTAATTAATATCCGTGTTTCATACACTGGTGTAGATTTAGAAATTTTCTTAAAATAATTGCCCGAAAAATTCTTAACAGATAACGCGAAATTAAATAATTGCAGCACGCCAAATTCAAAAAACTAGTTTTTTATTTCATAATTAAGCATAAGCAGCAAAAAAAATACGACAAAATACCAAAATTATGTAAGGAATTTTTTTTTAAACCGCTAAAAATTGATTTCAAAGGAAAATTGAGTTACTAAGAAAAACTTCGAATTTTCCTTGAATTTCACGATATAACTAATTTTGCAGTTTGATTGATTGAAGTGTTCTAGGTTAGTTCATGTGAAATTCTAAATAACGCAATGTGTAGTATAGATAGTTCAAGATAGAAAAAAAGACGAAATTTTCGCGTAGTCTCCGTAGAATCACGCTGGATATACGAGTCCTGAATCTGGTAATGAAGGCAATATAGTATTCCAGATACTAATACGCAGGTAAGAAATATAATTGCTAATATTATCGTATATGCATTTATGATGAAATAAAAATAACTTTGAACGGCTAATTATTATAGTAAGGATCTTTATTTTATTTATTGTATTTATCTTTTTTTACTTTTTAAGATTTTAAAAGTGATTCTTGGTTTCTAACATCTGTTTGGATTAAAAACTTAAACGTACAAAATTAAAGAAGCTACTAAAGAAGGGTGTGGTTTAAAATCTATCTAAAATGGTGCTATTATTCACAAATTTTCATTTATACCGTACTTTCGCGTAATAACGCTCATGGGCGTTATTTCGAATAATGGCCAGAATAAAGCTTAATTTGGGCCAAAATTTTGAAATCACACCCCTGCGAGTTATTACGCAAAAATACGGTACAAATTATTTTATACAGCGAGAATTTTTGAAAAAAACATAAAAATATACAATACTAAATTAATTCCATAACCCTGATTTCCTGAATCATTTTAATATAGCACCATAAATTTCATCCGTTATCAAGTCACAAGATTAGCCATCATAATTTGTACGTCTGGTTTTTGAGGCGCTGTGGAATGTAACGCTTGTTGTTGCGTAATTGGAACGTGATAATAAACTTCCAAAGTAGATGTTTGTGTTTGTTGCTCGTCATTAGTAACAAAAATTTCAGGAATAGATGTTTGTAATTGTAGCTCACCAGTAGCAACATGATAAATCTCAGATGTAAATGCTTGCGGTTGTTGCTCACAAGCAATGGCATCAAAAGAAGGTATACCCAAACTTTGAGCTGTCAATATATTTATAATATTATCTGACTCTTCGAAGGAGTAAATGCCAGAATTTTGAGACATAAAAAAAATTTCGGACCCTATAACGTCTTGCTCATCAACAGAATCAGGTAGTTGTGATGGAGATCTTTTTCCTTCGGTAATTTTACCGTCTTCGTCAAAAAAATTAAGTAATTGTGAGGAAGACCTTTTCCCTCCGGTGATATTACCATCATTAGATGGAAAGAATATATTTGTATTTGGAGCCACAGGCGGCATATCGTTTATATCGTTGGTAAAATTAACAGAAACTATGTCTTGAAACGATTTCGTGTGTATTGTTTCCTCGATGGAAAATTAATAAGGTAATTGTGAGAGAGATCTTTCATCTTTGATATTGCTACCATGATTATTAAAAATATTTTGATCAACAAATGATATATCATTATTAACATGTCCAGGACAGGGTTCTCTTGTGCCTTGAGTTAATTCTACATGTGGCGTTTTCTTGGTAGAGGAAGGACGGCGAGATGGTTTCTCTGCATTGGTTAATGTTAATTCAAAAAAATTTGAATTGTAATTGTGAAAGTGTATCTGAGAGTCGATTATTTTAAAGGCTGCCTCAGGATTATGAGCGCTTATCTTGATAATTTCTGCACACCGTTCGTAGTCAGATTTGATATCGCCTGATAATTTTTTATATTCCTTTTTGGCGCTTTTTGGATTAAGCCTGCTGATATTTTTAAAGAGTATAAATGCACTAGGTGTTCTTCTTTCAGACGATTCATAGAATGTAACCCATTTCCTAATTTCGGATTTAGTCATTTTACGAGCCTTAAAAGGACGCTCGCCTCTCTCGAACGCATTCTTAGCTTTTTTAGACTGACGCTCCTTTTGTAAATAAGACTTCATTTTTCGAATAATCAAAGCGTTAATCTTAGAAACCGAAAAGAGAGACAGAGGAAGCACGAAGCTTGGAAAGCTAAAAGGAGCGAGAATGTGAATTTAAATATTATTTTTTTAAGGAATATGTGACGTATTTTTATTTTATTTTTATTCAGTACTTATACAACCTCATAAAGCACAATAAGTGATATAAAAGATGTGTCATAAAAGATTCCTATTAGCTATCAAAAATCTTACTTCGTTGATTAGTGACATTTTATTTTTTAATCTATATTTTTGTTAAGATTAAATAAAAGAGATATATTGCACTCGATATCCTTAATTAGCCATGTTAGCAAGGTGTCGTATGCAACACACTCGGCATCCTTATTTAGCCATGATAGAAAAATGTACTGTATGTTACACATAATAATAACCTCAGTTTTTTTACATGGAATTATTTTTTTAAAAGCTTTAATAGTGCAAGCCAACAAAGGCTAGATTTTCAGGATGCCTTCCAAGTTGCCATATTTGTATTTCACTACTGGTATTACAAAATATAAGATAAATAATTAAAATTTGTTTTATGAAGGCATCCTTTATTTCGATAAATTTGAAACACTTAAACTTCATTTCATGTACTAAATGATCAAAGTATTGGTCAAACCTAGCATAGCTGTCAAAAGCAAATACAGAAGTAAAGATAATCAGTTCTTGTTTGGTATTAATTATGCACATTCAGTCTCAACATTGACAATTTACTTTAAAAACGGTTTAGGTATTAACAAAATAATTAGAATTACAATTACTTTCGAATTTACAGAACGAGCGTTACTAAGATTACGGGTTATTCATTGTAATCATATGTATGTAATCACATGATATGAATAAAAAAATTAGATCAATTTTTATTTGCGATTTAAAAAAATGATTTAAAAATTTTTTAACATGTGACTTCGTTTGTTTATAACACGAGTTAAAATTTCATGATTCAAATCATGATTATTTTGAATTATTCGGGTCACGAGGTGACGAGTCCATTACTTTGTACGACCTATTTGCATTTACATCGATTTTTTAAGAAAATTTAAATGGCCTATTTTCTTCAAATTGTGGAGTAAATCTAAAAATATATATATATATATAACGATATAAACAAGTTTCATTAATGCATGTCTGGTGCATGTGGACAGTTGTGAAACCTCCCACAAGTAACGTATGTGTGTAAACGTGAACTTTAATTTATTCAATGGTACGTACATGCCTTAACATGAATTTATCTGGTTTTTGTGCTTATAAATGCATATGAAAAAATGATCAAAAATGTTGTTGTAGAGAGTATTGAATGTCATGAAAGTTTTATGTCATTATTTTTTATATAAATATGTGTAAATCACGCAATAATTATTTTAATAAAATATATACTTTATAATGCCAGAGTTGGTAATATTGTAAATTAACTTGACCATTTAAGTTCATGTTAAAAATTTATTGATTACAGCTTACCCTTGTTAATATCAACCAATTTGGATCGCTTTTATATTCATGTTGATAGTGATATCAATGAGGGATCATATTTAAAGTTATATATTTGAGAGAGTTTGATATAATTTTAATATATAGAAATGCATTTTATAGTTTAGGTTGATATGAGGTTGATATTAACGAGGGTCAGTTGTATTTCAATTTAATCTAATTTTTATATTAAATTTCTTGAGAAAAGAAATCTAAACTTTTTTTCGACATTTTAATAATAAAAATATTGTTCAAATAGTTTTTAATATCAAATAATGCTTAAAATTTTCATTCAGTTTTTCCATTAAAAATAGCTTAAAAAAAAATAAATAAAATAAATAAATGAATAAATAAATGTCGCTAATATTATTCCAAACTCTCGATATAATGAAGATATCATAAAATGAATAAATGAATAAATAAATGTCGTTCATATTATTTAACTTTAACTCAGTGAAATATATACTATAGTTATAATTTTGTTTCGACTCGATTCAATAAATTTTAATTTATACTCTAATCGCGATCATTCGCGAGTTAATTATGAAATTTAAAATAATCAATAATCTGCATTTATTTGGGAAAATGATGTGAGCAAATAGTCCTTCTGATTGGTTATACTTGCACTTGATGGCATGGCCGTAGATCATTTATGGTTCTGTTGATCGAACAACCTGCGTAATCTTTCTGGGCATTAGTCTGTTATTTTTTTAAAAATTATACTATCTTATCATAGTAGTGTATAGCAAGGTATTAAACTTTTAAATTGATAAATATTATTAGCTAAATAGTTTAAAAGGTTATTTTCAAGTAAATTATAAATATAGCAGCTAGTATAAAATCTTTGATAAACTGTTTAAATTAAACAATCTATATAAAATTTATATATAAGCTAGTTATATTTAAGATTATTATGTAACTATTATAAAATACACCTATGGTGTTTAGCATTATATATAATTGTTATTAATAAGAGTGCATTTTTAATATAAAAAAGGGCTTATATAATATACGTAATAAAATTTTTATACTTAAAATTTTTGAAATTTTAAACATTCTTACTTAAAACATCTAACTCTAATTATTTAGTATATTTTTGAAAAATAATTTTTTATATATACCGTATAGTTCCGAAATTAAGCAATCCCCTCTACCCCAATTTTTGAATCTCAGATTAGCGGAATTTGTAATAAGATCTTTGGCCAAATTACTCCCGCTAATCTGAGATTCAAAAAATCGGGGTAGAGGGGGTGGTGCTTAATTTCGGAACTATACGGTATTGTGCCTCAGATCGATTCTTGTGTTGGATCTAATTTGATGCCAATTTTCAGATGATGCATGTCACCTGTCGATTAGTTATGTGATGTGTATGAGCTGTAATTTGAGATGCATCAGTTATAAACTGATACACCATTGATATTATGTATTTAATTATTAACAAAATTTTTATTTGATCATTTAAAACATAGGTTAATATTTGTAACTATAGCATGCATGATGAATACCACATAATAATGTAGTTTATTTTATTTTTTAAATATAATCAAATCATTATGTAACAATATAATCAAATCATTATACAATGAACACTATGTAATAACATTAAACCAATACTACTCTAATCTTAATTCTAATAGCTATTAGTTCTACTACCACAAAATAATATAAAAAACTATTGTGAAGCAATTTCAAAAACTACTGTGAAATAGGGTGAGACAGCTTAGTGAAGTGGTCTAGTCAGCACCCCACCAAGCAGCAGGTCCAAAGTTTGAATCACAAAAAAGATGTTTTCAAAAAATAAACCTGTGTTATAGTGATGATTATCCATCAATCAGTTGGATCTAGAATCTGTAATCTTGGTTGCACTATCTAGTATGGGAGCCTCGGCATATAAATGCCAAGAAACAAGGATAATTGAAATCTATTTGAGAAGACCTGAGTAAGGAGTAACTACAATTTTTGATGGTACTACAAGAAAGACCCAAATTTGGAAGTTAGGACCAAGATTGGAGAACTGAATAACAACAAGATCCTTTAGTGGAGGATTTACCAACTTAACTGCTAATTTAAAAAAGTTAGAAATTTGCAAGGCTGTTACAGAATACATCAACACTAGCCAGCCAGCATGAAAAACCAGTGATGAGAGGACCTACCCACCAAGACCAGAGGTTATAGAAGCTAAGCAGAAAACTAGTTAGACAAAAAAAATGCTAGGCTAGTCTAGAAGACTAGCCTACTAAATCAGAAAAAAAGAACATGTGCTAGAAAATCATGTACTAAGACAAGATAAGAGTACCAGGTATCTAATACCAAACCAAATTCAAATCTTCTGGGTCTTTGGTTAAAAGTAAGACATAGATCAATAAGAAAATAACAGAAAAAGAAAAGATCCAAATATGGGTATTAGGATTGGAAATAAAAACCCAACTACAAGTGAGAGTCTTAGCAATTGTGCAAAACCAGGTTGGCCCAAATAGAATAGGAAAAGCTCCAGAAGGTTTACCTCAAAAATAGCTATGCATTGTTCAATAGTAAAATGCAAGCTAGTAATTAGTTGGTGCAAACTCAGAATAAGTTACAGAAGTTCTAAAGCAGGATATGCAATCTAGTGGAATAGGCTAGATAGTAGATCTTGGGTTAGTATGATATGCTTAAAAATAGTTAGAATTAGAAGATTTAAATGGATAACTCTCTAGTTAGATTGCAAATCTGAAATGTATAACAGGTTATGCCAAATATATTGATTTGAAACATCAATCAACCTAATGCACCTCTGATTGACTAGTACATTTTATATGATTTTAAAATACTATTAGAAAATAAATACGTATGTATATACATACATACGAATAAAATAATACTAAATTGTACTGTAAAGACACTAACTGCTATAAACTGTAAATTCAAAATTTTTTTTTAACAGAGAGTTGGATATTATAGTGCACTTAAGAGAGAAAAAATGTATTTATTTATAAAATTTTGTAAAATAAATTAATAAAAAAAAAAAGTCAAAAAATTTTTAACTTTAAAAATCTATAGGTTGGTATTATAGCACACTATGCTATGAAATTCTTATTGTATTTTTAAGAAGTATATAGTATACAAAGAAAATTAAACACATAAATAATATGTGAATCATAGTATTTAACTTTTATTTATTTTGTAATTTAGTAATTAGTACTATGAGCTAATCTTCAGCGAAAGTACACAAGAAAAAATTACAACAAGAGAAGAGCTAATAAAGGAGATGATCACAAAACAAAGACAAGAAAACATATGCATAATCCTAGGTGAGGCAAGAAAAGTCAGCAAGTTTACACAGACCATCCTTAATCACTTTCAATGTCAGTTCTTCAAGCACATATGTAGCTTTAGATGTGAATTAGTCTTAGAATGAGAAAAAAAAAACAATATAACCAAAGAAAAGAAACAGTAAAAAAAAAAGAAAGAAGCCCAGAAAGAAGAAGAAAGAAAAAGACAAAGAAAACACAGACCCACAAGAAGCTGATCAT